TAGGAATAAAGCCCATTTCCAAAGATGTGTCCTGCTGAAGTTCAAAGTGTTACACTTCTAGATGGCTCCACATTTTCCATGTGGAATTGGCTGAACCCATTCTATCAGTGATCACTGTACCTAACATATTTACTGTGGAAAGTTGACTAGACCACTAAGAAGAAGGGATACAGTTCAAAGGCTCAGCTGGTACATATTCAGATTTCATTGTCTAAGTATAAATAACCCTGTAATAAGTGCTTGAATCAAAATTGTGAAACTTAGTTGAGGGTAGTTTAAGGATCCAAACCTAGAACTGCCTAGGAATTTCATGCCTGGTCACTCTTGTGGGTTGCCCTGCCCACAGAAAAAAAAAATAGGAGAAAAGGCAGATTTCCAGCTCTGATGACTGTGTCAGGCCTTGCCAGAAAGAGCAGGCTTGTGGCTATCACAGCACACTGGAGGTTCAAAGATCTTGGATACCTTTCCTAACATTCGGACCTTGGAAAGTTGCTTTATCCTCAGGACAAACTGATTTTTCGCTCTGCAAATGGGAGATAATGGTTTTCTAACAGTAGGAATAAAGTCTATATGATACTTCATTAATTTATAATGACTGCTCTATTAAAACTGAATAAGAGAAACAAAATAGAAGTGAATAAATATTGAATAAAACTGAAATAAACAAAACCTCCAGTACAAACCTATATAGTCTTTTCAATTTAAACATAACTTTCTGTGTCCGTACTACTTCCTTGAAGTTAGAACTCCACAGAGAAGCCAGCCAGGGTGGTCCTAATGTGATAATTCTGGGTTTCTGGTGGCAGAAAGTTCCTTTTCTTTTAAAAAAAAAAAGTATTTTTCTTAGCATATTGAAAACCAGCCACACAAAGAGCAACATTCCCTAGTGCTTGCATAAAAAAAGAGATGTAGTCATAAAATGCAGATGATGGGCAGCTTTCCTGTAGTCACAAGTCATTATATTCAAGCACTAACATATGTTATTTCCTAGAAGTAAATACCTATATTCAGATCAGTTTTGTCTCAAGATTACTTTTATCCTGATTGAAAATATGACAAATTCTTTGTCAGCTCTCAGATCCAATTTAAAAAAGATTCAAAGTAAATCTGAATGTCATGAGATGTCTCAATTTCTTTTGAGCTGATTTTTCTCATACATTCAAATTCTTCTATAATTAAAATTCACTGTTATTATATTCTCTATTTATGTCCATGTTATTTGGATATAAACTTATGCAACTTGGACATGTTATTTATTTGACTTTCAGTGATCAGTAGGATCTACCAGGTCAGCAGTCCCATCATAATTTCTTGGTTTACGTCAACAGTACTCACATCCCAAAGTGGTCTTCTATTCCAGCACTGTTCAGGACCACAGCATTTAAACATCTAACATCAGGCAAGGATGGAGCCATTACAGCCAGTAATGCTAAGGCACAAATGAGATTAAGGTAATAAATATCAGATATCAAAGCAGCTTCAAAACAGCATATATCAGAGTCATGGAAAGAAAGAATTTTTCTGATTCATCACCAGCTCCAAAGAATAAAAAGCCTTTCTGACCACTTAAATGAAATATTCTGTTTGATCCCCAAATGAAATGTTTTATTTTGAAACTGAGATTTTAAAAAATGTTTTCAATTTTATTTCAAAGTAAGCTGAAAGGCATCTCAAAACAAAAAAGTCGTTTTTGCAAAGAAACACCATATTTTTATTTTTGAAAATATTAGAACAAAAGATTTTAATTTTGAGGGAATTTCTCCTCAGTTTTATAAGTGAACAAAAATTGGTGAAGTGGGACATTCCTGGAAAGTTTTAGTGTTGACAAACGTGCATTTTTCATGTAGCAGAGTCGTGGTGAAAAAATATTACCCACTCTGACTGGTCCATAATTTCATAATCAGATGCCATTCCTTCCCTTTCCCAATGAAATTTATATTTTGAAGGCAAATGCAAAGCTCCCCTTTGAAGGAAGACAGCCCTCAGCAGGGGAGTTATCTAAATACTGCTGTGTCCAAACCAGCATGAGCCATCCTTCACCACGAGTTACCGACGTTGCATTGATACTGCGGGAATGATGCAACTCAAATTAGAGTCTAAAGTAATGTGATAGATTTCTGTCACATTAAATAATGTGAGGTTATTGAAAAGGCTTCATATTTAAAGTGAGACAGGTAAACCTTCAGCTGATGTCACTGAAGTTTAGCTAAAGACATTTGGTTTTTCATTGCCTGTAAAGACCTGCTGGTGCCACAGGACCTTAGAAGGACAGCACTGCAGCCTTAGATTTGTGACACTCGGTCCTTCTCATGTGTCAGCTGTGGGGACCTGACAGAGGGGTATGAACCCATTTGCTCAAGAAACATAAGACTCTGTAGCATACCTACTTTGTTGTCCGTAATTATACCATTAGCCTCTTAATTACGTCTAATGCAATTTATAAAAAATACTTCAGGATTTGCTCTTTATTTTTTTGGAATTACACTGATTACTTTCCTTGAAATGAAACTCATTTTGAGATAGGATGAGTTTTATGTTTTCCACATATTTAGTAGCTGGTGGAAAATTATTTTCTTCCAGTGACTTGAAGAATAGAAAGATGCTTCCTAAGGATGGGGTGTAAGATACTTCCTAACTTCAAAACTCAAGCTGAGGGAATTACTTTAAACAAAAACAAACAAGTAACTAACAGTTCTGTGATTTGTACATACTGTTCTTCATTTGAGACTCTGAAAGAGAAATTCATACCTACCTCTTCTCCTCTACAGAGGTAGTGCTTTCACAGGAGTGCTTCATGCCAAGCGTGTGTGTAGGTGGGGATGTTCTACTAGAAGGTTTTTAGAGGAGAAACTCTGTAGCAACCAAACTGATCATGCAGAGCAGCAGCTGCCTTTCCGATTTGTTTCTTTCTCTGGTTCCACTGTGAAACACTTTATCTTGTAATTACTGTAACTTACTTGTATCAGAAGTGCCATTGTGAATAAGACTTAGAGACAAATGTTTTTATCAGTTTCTTAAGTGGAAGAAATGTACCCTGTGTCATTGGATCCTTTGCCCCTACAACTCCATCTCTTATCATCCCTCCCAAAAAGATTTGGTTTTGCGCTGGGCAGTCTGAGAACCATGCCTTTGATCTATAATTTCTGAATGTGTGCAGAATAAATTAGTACTTACAGGTTACAAAATGGAGGTTAGCGATAGTATCCAAGTTAGCAAACTATGGAGCTTAATTATTGTTCAGGTGATGTTCTCCTGAGATGCTTTAGATGCTATGGAGAGTTTACACTAGGTTTGAGCTCTAAATCTTCTCAGGTTGAGGAAGCTCTGGTGTTTAGGTCTTTCCTGAGAGAATGCTAGGCTGATGCTACCAGCATTTCCTCTTCCTCCTTGCCACCAAAAAGAGACATGTGTGTACCAGCCAAGTCACTGCCTCATTTCTGAAACATGCACCAGTACAGGAGACTGAGCTGCTACCTTGGAGAAGGACACTACTTTACAGTGCTTCTGTCTTTGGCAGTTTCAGCTGATCACACTGAAGCCTCTCTCTGCTGTGAATCTGACCATTGGAGTCACACCTGCAGCCAGCTGCTTGTTTTTTCAGTGGAGCAGAACCAGGTTTCTGGTGATGTCATTGTTGCTGTTTGGATTAAGCTTCAAGAGACTATTTCCAGGACTGAAGCTGCAATCTGTCATTCATGCCCAGCTTCTAGTTGTGTAAAAAGCAAGAAGGAAGGACATATTGAGCCCTCCCCGAATCCTCATGTTCGTGTGTCCTTTTTCATCACTGAATATAAAAGTGTTCAAAGTTAATCTTGCAACTCTTCCTGCAGAGCAAACAAGTCTCTGAGTCAATTGCACACACAGAAAAGAACTTCTTCCCCTTCAAAATAGGGAGGTGCTTTATTGCAGAAACTCTGCTAAATGCACACACTTCCAGCAACCCACTGAAATCAGAGAACAATGACGGGGACTATATTTATGGGGTTTTCTTTCCCTCTTACCTCTTTGGCAAAAGGAGAGTGGGCGGAGACAGACACTTTGGCTCCACGTTCACCTAAAAGCCCTTTCAAATGCCCGGCGTGTTGAGCAACACGGAGGCAGCAGTTTCTATCTTCATTTCTGTGTGTTGACAGGGAGAGAGGAGAATTTTAACTGGATCAGCTTGTTTCGTGTGGTGAGGCTCCAGTTTGCATGGGTGTAGCAGTAGTGAGGTGGATGCACAGCCATGAACAGCAGCTGCCGCAACACAGGGAACCAGCAGCAAACTTGGCCACATTTTCATGTGGATGAGCTGATTGCTATTGCTCCAGATCCCAAACTGAATCCAAACCAGAGGCCACCACACTCAAATAGTGTGAAGCTCCTGGTGTGGCTCACACCATCTTGTGATGCACAGGAGATCACCTGCATAAGTAGAAAGCTGTTGGATCTCCACAGACTTTCCAAGGAAGGAAGAGGATTGTTTGGTGAGATTCCAGCCCAAACCACTTCCATACAGAGCCTGTGAATGAGGTCTGTACCATGACGTCCTGCCCATCTCTGATTTTTGCACTAGTTCTCCACTGAAAGATTAATATTATTTTTCTTGCTTGGACTACACAGAGCTGACCTTGTAGCGTCCTGCCTCTGTGAAGAAAAGGTCCAAGCCCAGGAAGTGGATCTGATCTAGGGGGAATAGAAGAAAAACTGCCCCTGAGTGGAAACCTGGAGCATGTGCTTGCTTCTAAAACCAATTTGCCAAGACTGACATGTTCTGGAGGCAAAGGGATTACACCAGACATGAACCTGTCCTGCTGTGTTTTGTAAAAAATTGGGTGTGTAGAGTACAGCTGCCTTCAGGCACGTTCAGCCTGCAAAACCTGTTAATCTTGGTAGAAAATAGGATTTACTGCTCTCAAATGCACCACAAGAGCTCTGCTCCCATACAGGGTAGTATTTGTGTTATTAAAAATAATTTCTAGCATTACTTTAAAAGGCATATAAATGGAAAGAAATGCTTTTCCTGCCTCAGAAAACATTCAAGAAACTCTTGACCAATTTAAATACACCAACACGCATTCTCACATGGTCACTGAAATATTGTTGGTATTTATGACAATTTAATTTTTCCAGAATTATTTTCTCCATCCCTTTTAATGATGCACAAACAGTACCAATAGCAAAAGTTCATGCTTCTGCTTCTGATCATATTAAACTTCTTTATTCCAATCAATGCCAGATACATCTGTAGATTAAAAGCAACCTTTAAGCTTTAAATAATCTTTCCATCTCTGACAATTCAGTTATTTGCATTTTGTTCAGTCAGACATATCACATAATGTCCCAGATGTAAATTTTTATGTACCTCTTCGAAGTCTGAATATCTGTCAAACTCCTACAGTGAAGAACTGCTATTGCTTGGAAAATGCTGTGAAAGTGGATAAAACCCCAGATATGAATATCTCACCAGTTAGGCTTCAGCTAGCTTGGTCCCCAGCTCCCACATGAGGTTGCTTTTTGATGCTTCATGTTGGTTCTATGGCTGAGGTCATCAGGTGCACTTCCCTCAGTGACTCATGGATCCATTTGGACCCGAGGGGAGGAGGTGAAAGGGGAGAAGGGATGTGTGTGTGTGCGCGTGAGTACTCACACAGCGCAATCTGAGGCATGCAGTGCAGGGGGTGAAGCAAGGCAGGCAGGCTCTGCTGTGCAGTGCCCGAGGAGGGAAGGCTCCCTGGCAGTAGTAGCCTGCCCACAGGTGTCTGGGGAGGCATTGCCAAAATGGCCATGATAGCTGGTACCACACATTGGTCACTAGGTGAGATGCTTTGGGTTATATGCTACAAACACCCCTCAAGCCCAAGAGCTTTGAAAGAGTAAAACCAACAAGGCCAGACACAGGCATAAACAATTCCAAGTAGTTATTTTGGGTCCTCTGCTTCTGGTGTCCTTGGAAGCTTGTGTCTGCCATGCCTTGCATCCCTCCTGGCAATCTGCCTCTCTGTAGCTGCTTTGCAAAAACTGCTGCCTCCCTCAGCACACGGACAGGAACCAGCACTTTTAATAGAGGTTATCATGGACCAGTCAGCACAAGGCAGTTTGCTCCACCCTGGGTCACTCCACTCACTCCATCCTGAATGGGAATAGACCTTTCAGGGGATCTTGGGCAGAAGGCTTGGAAGTAAAATCTTCATTGGGAGAGCTGGCATGCTAAGCGGGGAATTTGATGTTGCGGAAGGGTCTGGAGATGTGAGTTTTACAAACTTTTAGAGGAATTTAAGATTCTGCTTCTAAATATATTAGTTCACCAAAAAGGAAAACAAGGACCAGATTCTGATCTCAACAATGTAATTGAAAATACGGATAATAGCACAGATTTCAGCTAATTCTAGAAGTGATGATCTTGCATTAAAACTAGTGGTAAGACTACCTGTGATTCAGTGGAGCTGAGAAATCACCTCACCAAGACCCGAGTGCAATGCATTTTCAAATGCCAGAGACACAGCTGTGTCTTTGTCTATATCCCAGTCAGTATTTTTTACCCAAATGAGATGCCCTATAGTTGCAGCTAAATCTAGCGTATGCTTTGAAGTGAGGTTGTGCTCTTGCAATCATTTGAATAGTTGTGAAAAATAAATCAATTCAGTTCATTCTCATATGCCAGTTGGCACATAGTACTGGAAAGCTAATTCCAGGGTCACTGATTCTAACTCTGCTTGGTTGTGGGCACCAACTCAAATTCCTTCATGAAAGGAGAACATCAAAGTGATACACAGCATTTGAGATAAACTCTCACCAGGGACTTGTAAAAAGTCATTAATACATCCTTATCTCCTTTAGCCACTAGTTCATATGGCATCTGCAAACACAGGTGGAAAGAAAATCAGATCATTGATTTGGAGTCAGCTTGCAGTTGACTGTGAAATTAAATATAAACCATACATAGAAATTTTGGGTAAATTTGTTGCACTTAAGAATACTTAGCTTTCTGTCAATATTTCTATTTCAAAAGTACCCAAAAGATGAATAGATGCAATCTTGTTACATAAATTACAATGCACTGAAAAATAACATAACTCAATCATCATTCTGATATTAAGCCTTGATCATATTTAGCATTTAAAATGGTCAAATAACAGTTATTCTTTCAAAAAATCAATAAAGCTTCTTGAACAATCTGTAGTTAGCAAACCTGAGATACAACGTGTGTACATAAACAGCCATGCTGAAACCTTGGCTTAGGTAGCATTACTAAGTTGCATGCTAGCAGAACACTTGATAGTGAGAAGCTGCTTTCTCATGGGCAGTCATTGACGTGTTGAGGCATGAGCCCAGGGGGTACTGTTCAGGCACCCACTCATAAGAGATCCTCCCTGGCCAGCAGCTCCTGTGCTCCACTGTCACACCTATCAGGCTGCACTGTGCCCATGGGTGCAGAGGACTCAGCATGGCACATGCAGCACATCCCATCACCCTGCACACAGGGGCCACTGCTCCATGGCCCTGCCTGGGGTCCTGAACATTGTGCAAGGCTCTGCAAACAAGTGAACAGCAGTGCTCTAGCATTGCCTGGCAGTGCTGGTCATACTGGGAATCAAATTACTCCATTCCCTGCTCACCTGTGTGAGTGGTAAGTGGATGGTGTTAAGTACACATGGAGACCCTCAGCACGTTTTTGTTGGGATACAAATCCACATCCCATGTCATGGCTCATAAATGAAGGTATACATAGCTGAGCAGTGGGAAGTGCAATGGTGGCTTCAAAATATGTCCTTCCTGAAGTAGGTGACTGAGTATAAAAATGCCGTGGCATGCAGTTGGCACTGGGGAGTGAGAATGTTGGAGATGGCAGGGAGAAAAGGAGGGAGAGAACTAATTTATTTTTTATAACCTTCTGTGTTCAGAGTTCTTTAGTGCAGGACCTCAGAGGTATTCATTAGAGGGAAAACCAAGCAATTTTCTCCCTTTCAAAAATTAGCTGGGGATGTCCATTCTATTATTAGTGATGTTCACATTCCAAGCAAAACTACAGCTGAGTGTAAACCTCAAAAACTACTGGACTGACCCAGTGTCATTCCAGTGAAAAATGGTTGATTAAGTGGATTGTATTTCAAAGCCTGGAACTGAATGTCTTGCAAAATTCTGGGACGTTTTTGAGTAGTGCCATCTATTTATTCTTCTCCTATAGGAAAATTATATACAGCTGGACTGTTACAGGTCAAATGATGCAAAAGGATTTCAGCACTATTCCCATCCACTCTTTGGGGCTGAAGCCATAGGTCATGCATAGGTCCCATCCTCCCACAAGATCTGCTGTATCCTGTTACCCAGTGTGACAGTGACCCACAGGAGGTAATGGAGAGGTTTGATTTGGAATGGACAGGTCAGCCTCTCTGTGCTTGGCACTTTCTCCAGTCAGCAGAGCAGGGCTGCTCTGCTGTGACTTCTCTGATGTTCCTGATGTCAGCAATCACTCTGCTGTAGAAACACAGGATAAGTGGAAAACCATCTTGGACAGGGATTCACCCAGCTGGTCTGGAACTCAGCCTCTCTTCCCATGAGAGTCAAATGAACCTGTACCATGATCTGGGCAGTGTCAGTGTGCATGGAAACATAGAGCTGCACACTCTGACCAGAGCCCATCTTACCATCGTGAGCTCCCCATCACAGGATAGGGTGCTGGTTTTTATAACTCCGTGTCTCCTACCTCTTACTGTATTAAAAGTTATCTGTCTTGAAAGTGTTGGTTCCTTTCCTCTTGGGATTCCAAAAGAAGGGTTACCTCCCTGTGCAAAACAAGGTGAAGAGGATAAAAAGAGTGGAGTGAGAAGCAGTGAGGAAAGATAAAGTGTCCTTTCCCTGGTGGGCTCCAGACTACTGCTTGGAGAAGAGACAAGGCTAGGAACAGGAAAATGATGTTTGGAATTTATATGATGTTTGTACTTCTTTGCGATAAAACTTAACAAGGGTTTACACCAATTGTGCTCAGAAAGATTTACAGTTTCCGTGCATTTCTGTTTTATTTTGTGACTTATGGTGGGTGTTGTCAGCTTCACAAATCACACTATTAAATTTTACAGCTATAGTTCTTTCTGGTAGCATCATGTTTCCATGTATTTCCATTCCCTTGCATCTCCCTACAGCATGTGACATTGCCCAGGTGTGCCAACAGTGGCTGCTTACAGCTCCTCTGAACTCATTCTGGGAAAGTATCAGTAGAAAGTATCTTGGGACAATGCCCTCCAGAGATGGCTCTTGAATTTTTCTGTCATTACTAATGCCAGTACAACTCCAGTGGCAGCAAGGGCTACTGGTGGCAGCAGGAGTTTGCACTGCCACAGTGTGTCCTAGTTCCTGTGAAGAGACAAAAGAGGATAGTTGAAGATCTGTTTCCATATCATCATAGGTTTTCTATCATCTCTGTGGAGGCACTTCTGGCCACAGTCATGGCATGTTGCAGGGAAGGAAAAAAAATGCTGGGTGGAGGTTCCTGGAGGCTGCTCTGCATGCACAAGACTGCCCGGTTGCAGGAAGGAATGTCCACATGTTGTAGGCACTACCTGAGGTGCAAGCCCTGGAGCTGCTTATGGGGCAATGATGTCCCTGAAGTGCTTTGGAGGGGTGGCCAAAAGCCTGAGTGTGCCCAGACTCTCACCTGTGCAATCCAGACAGGTGGGATATAAAAGGTCTTCTCTGTCAGCAGATGACCTGAGCTTGGCTTTTCTTGAGCTCTTTGCTGGTGAGCCTGGGATAGGAGGTGTGAATTGTCACACACCCTGCTGGGTCCTCCATGGCAGCAAGCTGCTTCCAAACCTGCAACCTCTGCAACCCATGGCCTCCCTTCTCAACATCTGCCTAGACTCTGCCACCGGCTTTAGTGTCCTAGGCACTTCCTCAGGCATGGTCCAGCTTTTCTGCTTTCCTGCCCTTTTTAGAAAGGTACTAAAGTGAGGGAGTATCTATGTTCTCCCAGAGCATTTTCCAGGGATTGAAATGAAAGTTGAGATTTCTCTAACTTTTTACAATCCCTGTTTTCTCAGTGCATGGGAATCACATTTTAGGAGCCATGTGTATCGTGGCCCTGATAATTTACATTCATTGCCGAGTTATTTTTATCTGAGTCTGAATTTGCGGGCTAATTACACAGGCACACGCACACAGACAGAAACCACTTTGGCCCATTCCCAGAGATAAAGTAACCTAAAGCATGCATTACCAGCTAGCTCAAAGGTTTGTTCTACCATTTATCTGATAGATCTTAAAAATAAAATGGTTTAAAGCACCTTCAAATGAAGCTACAGAACCACCATAACAAGGATTTCCATGCTGAAGGCAACCAAATTACAACACATCAAAGTCTTTCCTAGTGCAAGTCATAGTACCTCTGGATGCCCCTCTGAAGCTTAAGAAACCACAGCCCTTCTGTGTATGGACACATACACACCTTGTGACATTTCTCACCCCAAAGTAGGTGTCAATCCCTTCACCTTGCCATGGTCCTGCTACTCTCACTATTCACTGGCTGAATTTAAACAGTGATGCTTTCTTGGTTGCATCACTGATAGAGACCTGGATTATCTCAGGAGGAAAGTCTATTGCTGTAAAAGACTCTTTAAACTGGGAACATGCCAAGATCTTTCTTGTCTCCAATGGTCTGAGCCACCTTGGACATCCTTTTTTATGTCATCCCTCTGATACAGCCAAATATCCTTTTAAACTTGTGGGAGCCTGACAAGAACTCTAAAAACTTTCTATGAATGACACATTTAGGGATAGATATTCTGGGCCACACCTTGGAGGAGAGGTTGTGGTGTGGCTGTGGGTGATCACAGGTGCATTCAGCCAATGGGGACATACATGTGAGGAGCTGTGGGGAAACAGAGTATGTAGATAACATTGCTTTCTAATAATTGTTTGGTGGTAAAATGTGAACATGGTCCTTGGAAGTATATGAACATTATTTAGGAGAGCTTTGAGAGGTTTCCTGTCTTTATAAGGGAGACAAAACTTTGTCAGAAACCCACCCTTCTCTCCACTATATTAGGTTAGTTGGAAAAGGTGACTTGAAGGTAGAACAGAGTTTTAGGGAACTGTCTTCAGACTGGCACTCCCAAGGAAAGGTGACAGGGGACTTGTCCCAGAGAGGACTGGACATGCTTCATTTCTGGCATGCCTCTGATGTGGGTGCAAGCACTTCATGTGTATTCACTGAACTCAGAGAAATGCCAGAAAATTATGGAGGTTAAAGAAATGCGTTTGCATCATAACCCTGTTAAATTACTGTTTTTAAAACTTGTACTTTACCAAAAGACCAATGTTTGAGGCTGTTCTTCAGTTAGGCTCTAAGGTGTGCCATGGAAGATTAAACATTTTTCTTTATAAACTGTGCTAAGAAACATGACTCAGTTTAATTTTGGCGGCATCTCCACCAAAATTGTGGACATTAAGGATCTCCCAAAAAGATGGAAATTGAAATAGTGAAAAATGCATCACAAAGAAGACAGTGTGCATTTTTAAAGTAAAAAATTAGATAACAAGTCATAGTGATCAAGCCTCATAGAAGCACCTATGAGTGATTTTGGGTGTCTGATTCTGCAAGGGCATTTGTTGCTTGTAATGAAGACATCAGTACTTGTGCAAGTAACTCACTTTTGGAGTGCAGTATCATATATCCTATATAGCTGTGATAGAACTATGTATGTCAGCCATAGACTGGCCTATTTTGATCACATTGCATAAATGTGTGTATATATAAAATATTAATACAGCATATTTTTAACTTTCTGCACCAAAAAACTTACCATTGCTCTGCCTCTGAATGCTATTTTTGTCAATTTTGAAGGGTATATCCTCCATGGGTTTTGTGTGGCATCATCCAGACAGCAGGGCCCATTTGCTTTTCTCACCTGCCCTTCTTCCAGGGACAGAGCATGCCTACTGTGATGGTTGCTAGGGCTCACATGTCCCCCTCCACCTGGTTTTGCCTTCAGCTTAATTGTTTCTGGAAGTGTTCTCTTTTCCTCAGGAAACCAAACAACTCCCGGTTGCATCTAGCTCTCCCGCTGGCAGTGTCATGGCAGAGGTGCTGTCATTGCTCTGGCAGAACCAAATGCTTCTGGAGGTCACTGCTGCAAGGAAAGCACAGAAAAAGGGAGAGATTAGTGGGAAAACAGAGCTCAGACTGCAATGGATCTGGTAGCCAGGTAATCAGCTGGGAAAGAGATATAGGATGTTGTGATAAAATCATCTGTGTGATGTCTAAGCTGTAACACCACAAATGCAAAGCCATACTCATGGTGAATGTAAGTTCAGAGGCACCCTTGGAGAATTTGGGTGTAGAATTGCTGATAATAGCAAAGGAAAAAGTCCTCCCAAATTTTAATTTAAAATTTAATTTTAATTTGCATGATACACTTTTTAACCCATAAAACCTAAGTAAGTTTAATATCTCACATCAAGGTGAAAGGAGTTTGCCTTATCCCTGGTATTAGAAAATGTTAGCACAACTCAAAGTGTTGTGACCCTCTGAAAGCATTTTTATGGTCAGGGTTTGCTTCTATGTATAAAATTAACTTCAAAGCAACTTTTCCCCTTTTCTAAAGAACTGAGGCTTTGGGTTAAAAAATAAATAAAATAAGGCAAAGTAAAGGAGACCACATCTTAGAACTTCCCAAAGAAAATGAGATTTAGAAATATTTATGAGTCATGGACTCACAGCCTTTCCAGGATCTGTATGTGCATAAAAATGAAAAATAGCATCTTTAGCTGTGAAGATCTATTTTAGATGGTGAGATTCTTTTAAAATGGTAAGCCCTTTTGAGAAGGCAGGCCCTACCTTTCCCTTCCTGGGTCAGACTTAATGTACAGACAGGTAATGCATGGTGCTGGGGACTCTGGACCTATGTTTTAATCTTTTAGTTATGGTTCATTGCCACTTATCTGTATAAATTCTGTATTTCCCAACCATGAAACATGAGATTTGTAAAAACAGTGATGGAGACACTACAAATTATGTCTCCCCACTTTCCCTGGCATGAACTGATACGAACAAGCCCAATTGTATCACGCTATTTTGCATCACAAAATAATAAAACTTTTCATGTGAAGATGGCACTAATATATGCAATGTGATTAGAGCCCGTGGACTGTGGTAGCAGGATTCATGAATTACAGTGTTCAAAAATAAAAGGAAGGCAAAGGAGTTGTTTTCTCATTTGTGATACCACAAAAGTCTTTTAAAAAGCTGGCCTTTAATTCCAGTGATGGGCTAAATCTGAAGAATGAATCAATCCAGGGGCCCATTTAAGGACAAGGCTCCTGTCCTTCAGAGCTGCTTCTCAACCCTGTTAGACATACTGGAAATAACCCTGCTGTCTATTTGTTGGATCTGCTTTCCCAGGACAGTTAGAGAAGTTGTCCTGCAAAGGCTCTATATCAAGTAAGCCCCCATGGATAAGATTCACATCCAAGCTGATCAAAAGAAAAGGCTAGAAGGGACTTAGAAGGCAAGCTCAACATTTCCATGCTGTCCTTGAGACACATTTGTCCAAATGGTCCATAAGATTTATCGCAATATCTGCTTCAGTACTTTGCCAACAGAACTCAGTGCTCCACTGTCTGCAGTGTTAGATTTTTCTCAAAGTGCTTAGCCTGAGTCTTTCTGCTGCAATTAAAATATGTTGCTGCTTTTTGACAGCATAGGAACAGTGATCAGATGTTTTGCTTCTTTACAAAGCCCTTTTACATATTTGATGGTGTTTCCCCTTTGGTGTCCCTAGCCCAACTCTTGATATTTCTTCAGTTGCTCCTCAAAGGACTCTTTGGATTGTTTACCTCTGGGATGTCTCTGAGAGGTCCTCACTTTCCTTGATGTGCAGTAGCCAAACTTAAGTGCGTCATTGCGCCTGAAGCTGCACTAGTGCTTTGTAAAGCAGAAGGATGTCTGCAGATGTCCAGCAAGACATCTGCAGACATGTGCTCCCCAAGAGAAGCATTCTTCAGATACCCAACACAAAGTCAGATCTCTTTTCCACTGTGTGAGAGGGTTGATTCATACAACCTGTGCTCCATTTTAATGCCTGCCTCGTCTTTTGAACCGCTCCCTAACCAATTTTATTCCATTTTGTACTTTTGCTTGATCATGGCTACCTGAATTTAATACTTTGCATGTGACTCTATTAAATTTTCTCTTTTTCTGTTTTTCAGCCAATTTCTTCAGCTTGTCAGATCACTTTGGATTTCAGGCTGTCCTCCAATTTGACAGCAATCTCTGCAGTATCATATAATCTGTTACTGTAGTAAGCATATTTAATATTTCATCACCTAGCTCACTACATGGAAAAAAAACCCCAATGTGTATAAGATAGAACCTGTCAAAAGTGAGTTTCATATTTGAGATATCTTTGGATTTTAATGTTGAAACACTAAACTTTCCCCTTGGAATAGTACCCAGTTAGTTTGACACCTATGTTACGGTATTTCTGCATAGAAGGACTCCTTACAAGGAGATAACAAAAAGTCACTGCGGTCAAGCTGGACAGTCCTGCAAGACCATGTAAACACACCAGCCTGCTGGCAGTTCTCTGCCCTTTGCCATACCTGTGTGGCTACAGTGGGGAAGGCATCACCCAGGCTGCCACTGAGGTCTGAGGTACTCATGACTTGGAAGAGGTTTAGACAAACTATTGGAGGATCTTGGTGGCTGTTCATAATGACTTGAAAGCCACCTGCTGCAAAGACACCCGGATAATGGCTAGAGGCTGAGGGGTAGAGCAGAGATGATGCTTAGCATTACCTAAAAATACACTTTCATATATCATCTATTAATTGGGTTAATATCTACTTGTGTCAGATAATGAAAGTGGCCATGTTTTGGTCTAGGTTTATCTGACAGGTGCTGAAAACCAAACACCCAGTCAAGTCTGAGCAGTATCCTCAATTCAGGCACTGGCATTTCACTGTCCCTTCTTTAAAGGTTCCACACCACTTATATAATGCATGATGTTACGTGCATGTTGGTAGTTCTCACTATGAAAAGGTGACACCTTGATTTCTATTATGTTTAAGTGGATTTTTCTTTTCTGTAAAACTGTAAGCCAGAAACATGATTGAAAGGCCAAAGTAAGGTAACAAATGTTAATTTTCTTGTATGGTATGTTGTATGTTGTAAGTGAAAGCCAGAAATCAGAAGCTTTTCAAATTGACACATAATGATTGCCCTTAGATACTGGCCTGCTTTATTTACAAGATGTTAAAAATTACATTGTGAATACTCATATGATCATAATAAAATGATTGCCTGTAGAAGTGTGAATTCCATTTAGCCTTTACAAAGAAGCACTTAGTGGGCTTTGTACTGCGTGGGCATGACCTTAGAAAAGGCCTATCATTTGACTATGAAAACATGGCTTAATTCCAGTGCTAACAACATCACTCTGCTAAAATAACTTTGGCGGGCACAACGACCTATAATTTTTGTAACACCATTGAAAAAAGTGTTTTCCTTACAGTAGTGTTAATTGTGTACAGGATAGAATTTTTTTTTGTATATATTAATAATATTGGTTTGATTAGCTATTTTTAACAAAACTGTGAATTATGAACAAGCACCTCTGGATGCTTTTTTCAGTGAAGGGTGAACACACTCAGGTCCCACATTAGCAGTGTTCTGTACTCGATTCTATTATCTCATCATTTTGTTTTTTTATGTGAATCTCAACAAAGCAACCAGAGCCACATCAGTAATATACTATCAAATGGTACAAAAATATGATGATGAGGGAAAATATCAGTGTGCACTCAGAATTATAACCTGAAAAAGGCACCAATGGAATAGAAATTGTTCCTCTGACCCCGTTTCCACTCAGCCTGGTTACCGAGCAATTTAACTCTGAATACCTCAGTAGTAATTCCTGATTTTCACCATAGTGAATATGGCCCAGGGAATATTATATTTGCCATCAGTTCACACTGACTGTTACCTTTTCTTTACTTCAGCTGATGTGTATGATGAGACTGACTATTTTCTAGGCTGTATCCTCTAACTTATGTCATCACTGACGGCAATAAAATGAAGAATGTAAAATGCAGCCATTTCAGCTGAATTGTGAGCTATGACTGCATGAGGTTAAGGGCTCATGACATGTATGCATGCTTGCTGCAAACACTACAGAAGAGGTGTTTTTGTATCAACTCCAAAGAATTTGGATGAGAAAAAGTGCCTTTTTCACTTTTTGGTTCTGTTTGCCTTGACATAATTCTGCTATTCAAACCCCCAAGGGCAAATATTTCAACAAAGAGACAGTCTTAGGTGATTAAACTGTCATGAAACAGAGATGTAGTCGGTGGGATTGATTGGCTCTCACTGTGCTTTGACGCAGCTGTGGCTTGGATGAGCAGGACTGGTTCTGAGTCAATCTGACTAGGATGGGATCATGCCAGAGGTGAGGGGAGCCAGCTAGTTAGAGGAGCACAGGCACCTATTTTCTCCTTCAGGTTTTGTTTTTTTAATGCTGGTGATTTGTGACACTTAATGAATGAAGAAAGCATCCCTAGCATGGTCTTCATCATCATGGACCCTCATTATTTGGAGTGATACTGCTGTGGCCCAGCACCTCCAACCCTCACCTTCAGCAGGGCCAATGCAATGCAAGGACCTGAAGGAACTCTTTGCAAGAGACAATCAAAGCCTAGGGAGCAACACTAGTTTCCTAGGTTACTTGATCAGGCAAGCCAGAACCTCATTTTAAGGGATTTCTACATGGCTCCATTACTGAAGCAGCTGAAAATAAGGGAATACATTGGTAAAGGTGATGTCTGTCATTCCATATTCTGGGTCTGTCCCATTTTCTTCTTTGCACTTTATTTTAACCATCCTGAAGGAACTGTGTCTCAGCCTCAAATAATAACAATATTATTAATATAGCAAAGAGGCTTCAACTGCTGACTTTGAGACATGATGTTCTGTTGAAAAGTGAGGGAACTGTAATATGGAGATAAATATTTGTCTCAGTTCACTAAATTCCATGATTTGTTGACCAGCAAATGATGTTATGAAGCTTGTTGATTCTCTCTAAGAGGCACAATGTGCAAGAAGGTACTGATGACTTCTCTTACAAGGGTTTGAAAG